GATAGATAGATAGATAGATAGATAGATAGATAGATAGATAGATAGATGAAAGCAGGGTGAAATCATTTTCTCTTACATTCATATCATAGTTTCTTTGCTTCTATTCGATACGGTATTTTCGCCAAACGCTCATGCGCACTGAATGAAAATACTTCAAAGTTTCCCATTGGGAGCTAGATCATTTGAGTAAACTTTTTGTGTCAAGTTCGCTCTCAAAATGGTAAATAAGTGCACAGTAAAATTAAAATATGAAGATGAATGTAGGCCTTTTTAATAGAGTGGAAGAGTATGTATTTTTTGTTTAACTAACTGGAAGCCATTCTGCCTCAGAAGTCCCACCATGTAACAAGTAGAGTTAAAATTAAAATAAATTGTAAATTATAATATTTTTAGTTTTTGGACTTGGTTAAACTGAGAGTTTGTCTGTGTGAGACAGTGCACGTAATGTTCACTGTTGAAGAACAGTGTAGGAGTCCATAGGTGTGTGTGTGTGAAGAAGGGATAGGGTGATGTCTCTGATGTGTCTCTTTGGGGTAACATGGTAAAATGGCTCTTGCTCTCTGTCTGCTCGGCCACTCCTGGTCTATGATGTGGCAGCCACAGGTCTTATGCATGTGTTTGTTAGCTTTAGACAGCCTCTGCTAGTGGGTGACGGCGTGCGGGACCTGACGTTCTGTGCTCTGTGTGCAGGTATGTGGCCGTCTGCAAGCCGCTCAGGTACCACGCCATCATGACGCCGGGCCGGCTGCACGCCCTGTGCGCCCTGGCCTGGACGCTGGCACTGCTGCTCATCGCTGTGCTGTTTGCCTTCCACATCAACGTCCTGCTGTGCGGCCACACCATCAAACACGTCTACTGCAGCAACCGCAGCATCCTAAACCTGGCCTGCGCCCCCACCCCCATGAGCAACATCTATGGTCAGTTTAAAACAGCATTTAGTTGAATGTGACATCAGTTATCAGCCCGCAGTCTGTGTTACTGTCAGAGTCTTTATCTATCTGCAAAGCTGCTCATTTAGCTACTCATCTGGCGGCTCCTCTGGGTCCTTTCACATGTCATAAATGTGCCTTCTGATCGTTTAATTGGACTGGGGATCAAGATAAAGGATGATATAAGATATTGCTGGCTGCTCAGTCATCAGGGAAGTATCTGTTCCTCCACAGTCTAGTGCAGCTTTTTACATTTAGCCACCCGGTTGGCAGCTTTATACAAAGCCAGTTAAGCTTTTGCCAGCATGGTTGCATCTTTAGTAAAGAGACATTAATGTGAGTTTCTGTATAAAAAAAAGTCAGCTGAGTTTCTTTGTTCGCTGGGTGTGTCTCCAAATGGTGTCTGAGCTTGTTAGGCTTCAAACTTTAAGACAGACAGCACACTGTGGTCTCTCCTCATCACCCACATGTGCAGGTGAGGCCAAAGGAAAGATGGGCTTCATCAATGACCCTATTCGCTGCACTGACCCTGCCTCCCATCCTCTGTGCAGGTCTGTCCATGACCTGGTCTTTGAGCACAGGGATCTTCATCATCATCGCTTTCTCCTACATCAGGATCCTGAGTGCGTCTCTGAAACAAGGCCGAACCGACCGGTCCGTCAGAACCAAGGCCTTCCAGACCTGCGCCCCCCACCTGGTCGTCTATGTGCTCTATGAAATAGCCTCTATGATCATTATTGTCAGTCTCAGGTTTCCCTCCATGTCCCAGAACATCAGGAAGTTCTTCAGCATCTTGTTCATCATCGTCCCGCCGGCCGTCAACCCCGTCATCTATGGGCTGGTCAGCAGAGAGCTACGCTCCAGCATCATCAGGCGCTTCTCTGTCACAATCTGCCTGAGAAACGCAGCAAAATGAGAAAAATCTTTGGGGTTTTTATAGGCCAAAACGCCCCAAGAGCCCCTCATGCCTCCACACAAAACCACCCTGATCCAGCTGAGGAGAACCTTCAGCCTGGGGCACTTCTCATCCCTCCCCAGAGGAGGGAACCTCCCCCTCCAGTGGGAGGGGGTCCTTACCAACAGGCCACGCGGCTCCTCTGACTTCCAGATGTTTGCTCAGTAGTAACAAAGTCAATTTATGTGCATGATGTGGTCAATTTTTATGAGAAAGCATTTGATGTAAAGCCTGATTAACCTCCTTAGAGCCAGCTTCATATGAGGACACAGCATTTCTGCCTCTTTTTACAATGATCCTTATTTTTTCTTTGACCTCTTGGCCTCATAGTAGACGCTATCAGACACTACTGTTTGAAATCTAAAGTAAAATGGTTTTATACATTTTCAGCCAATTATATTCTTGTTGTGGTGGCACGGTGGTGTGGTGGTTAGTGCCATTGCCTCACAGCAAGAGGGTTCTGGGTTCGAGTCCCCAGGGGAACCAGGACCTTTCTGTGTGGAGTTTGCATGTTCTCCCTGTGTCTCCTTGGGTTTTCTACAAGTTCTCTGGCTCCCACTGTCCAAAAAACTGCATGTTAGGTTGGTTGGACATTCCAAATTGCCACTAGGAGTGAGTGTGCATGGTTGTTTGTCCTTGTGTTACCCTTTGATGGATGGGCGGACAAACCAGGGTGTACCCTGCCTCTTGCCTATTGGCTGCTGGGATAGGCTCCAGCGACCCAGTTAGGAAATAAACACTAAAATAAATGGATGGATGGATATTCTTATGGAGGAATTAAAATGTTTTAAATAAGGAAATTACACCGTCAGAACCAAATTGCAAAAATATTTATTTAAACATTTAACAAACATTTTAAATATAAAGATAAACACACTGAGCCTATACAATCAAGTGCCTGTATAATGACAAAGTCTAGGTAAACTTATTAGGTCCTGCTAATCCCGCATATCTTGAAAAAAGCAAAAACGCGCACCAAACAAAAGCTTGGGTCTCAGGAGGTTGAAAAAATAGTCATGAGATGAAAATAAAGGTGTTTGTGAGCTTGTTTTGGACTTGTTTGTAGCTGGTTCCACCTGCCCCCACATGCCAGATGCTGCTCATGGTTCAGAACTCCTGCTGTGGGATTCATGCTGCAGTTAGAGACGGAACAACATGGGGAAGGAGGTCCAGCCAGGTCCCAGCGTGACCAGCTTCCTGAAGGGGCGGTCGGTCACAAAGAAAAGAGGCAGTTTGTGTGCAAGGCCATTTTATTTGTATAGCAGATTTCCGGTACAAGACAATTCAAAGTGCTTTACAAAGTTTAAATGCAGGACAAAAAAGAAAGAAAATGAATCAACAAAATAAATTGATTAAAAGTGAACAGAGTTGATGAAATACAATCAGTTAAATAGATGTTTTCAGCCTGGATTTAAACATCCCGAGTTAAGGCTTGTCTCACCTCTTCAGGAAGGCTGATCCAGACTTTAGGAGCATACAAGTAAAATTAGAGCCTCTCCCGGTTTGGCTCTGGCTATGGGCCCCAGCAGAATATAATAACAAAAAAAGTGTCAGAATTCTAATAAAAATATTTCCAAATTTTATATTTTTGTTTAGTCACAGAGACTTAATGAAGCAAAAAAGATTATGTCTTGGAGTCAGCAGTTATGTGCTAGAATTTCTCTTTCAGATTCGTAGTTTTGTTAGTCAGAGCCAAACTCAGACTGGATTGGTGAGCATTTTCTAATAGTTTGGGGCGACTCGTCTACAGCGCCAGAACCAGCCGCTTCCTCTCAGCCAACACCTCCAGAATAGGAGGACCTGCAGCCTCCTCCATCGGGGTTTTCAGCTCTTACGACAGGCCCTGATGGAGAAGTGTCTGATGATGCTGGAGCGCAGCTCTCTGCTGACCAGTCCATAGATGACGGGATTGATGGCTGGCGGGACTATGATTATCAAAATGCTGAAGAACTTCCTGATGTTCTGGGACATGGAGGGAAACCTGAGACTCACAATTACGATCATGGAGGCTATTTCATAGAGCACATAGACGACCAGGTGGGGGGCGCAGGTCTGGAAGGCCTTGGTTCTGACGGACCGGTCGGTTCGGCCCTGTTTCAGAGACACACTCAGGATCCTGATGTAGGAGAAAGCGATGACGATGAAGATCCCTGTGCTCAAAGACCAGGTCATGGACAGACCTGCAAAGCATAAAGGAGCTGAGATGAGCACCGAGCATGAAGCCTGATCCTGAATCAGAACAGAATATTCTACTATGTAAATGCGTTGGTGGCTGCAGTGTAAAGTGACTACTAAGGCTCCATGTTGTGCAGCCTGACAGCAGCTCTGGCCTCACCATAGATGTTGTTCATGGGGGTGGGGGCGCAGGCCAGGTTCAGGATGCTGCGGTTGCTGCAGTAGACGTGTCGGATGGTGTTGCCGCACAGCAGGACGTTGATGTGGAAGGCAAACAGCACAGCGATGAGCAGCAGGGCCAGCGTCCAGGCCAGGCCGCAAAGGGCGTGCAGCCGGCCCGGCGTCATGATGGCGTGGTACCTGAGCGGCTTGCAGACGGCCACATACCTGCACACAGAGCACAGAACGTCAGGTCCTGCACGCTGTTACCCACTAGCAGAGGCTGTCTAAAGCTAACAAACACATGCAGAAGACCTGCAGCTGCCACATCATAGACCAGAAGGTGGCCGAGCAGGCAGAGTGCAAGAGCCATTTTACCATGTTACCTCAAAAAGACACATCAGATACATGGGCACACATGAACATCACCCCATCCCTTCCTCGCACACACACACACCTTTGCTCAGCCAGATTTGTTGTAAATGTCACACAAGGTGATAGTGACAGAAACAGACTCAATTTGACCAAGTCCACAAAAAAAAACATCATAATTTACAATTCCTTTTTCCTTAACTATGGATGTTACTCAGTGGAGTTTCTGGCATGGCTTCCATTAAGTTCAACAAAAATATATAAACTCTCCCATTCTGTTAAAAACTTCCTGCATTCATCTTCATATTTTCATTTTTCTGTGGCTTTTCTTCCCATTTTAAGAGCGAATTGGACACAAAACGTTTACTCAAATGATCGTGTTCCTACTAAGAAACTTTGAAGTATTTTTATTCAGTGCGTATGCACATTTGACGAAAATACTGTATCGAACAGGAGTGAAGAAACTACGATATAAATGTAAGATAAAACGATTTCACCCTGCTTTCATGCATAAATGGAGAAACTAGGTGCGGTTTGTGTTCCCCCTCCTCTGCAAACATTAGGAGGTCTGACAGATGCAGGACATGTGTGTGTTGGTGTGACAGAGCCTGAACTCAGCCAGCACCATATTGATTTTATATATCATATCTATTTGTGTCTATGTGTACAATTT